GATGGAAGACCTCTCTCTGTCTCTCCTTCTCTCTTTAACTCTGCCTCTCAGATAAATAAAATAAATTTTTCCCTCCCTAACTCTGCCTTTCAAATAAATAAATCTTAAAACACACACACACGCACACATCCCGGCCTGCTCGTCTAGCTAGAGGAAACTTTGGTGAGTGACTTGTGTCTTCCAAACCTCCGTGTCCTCATCTGTAATGTAGGGCGAATAAAATCAAGTATCTTCTTTACAGGGTCATGGTGAAGACTGGATGAGTCACTCTATGCAAAGTCTTTAGGACATTCTCTGGCACAAAAGTGTCCAATATAAAACACCCACAGAGTGGACCCTTCCCCAGAGACACCAGGCAGCCTTTCGCTATCACCAACAATGCTGCACCATGCATCCTCATTCACCTGCCTAAGGGCCAGCACCTCTGTGGGAGTAATTCCTGCTGGAGAAATTGCTAGGCCCAGCAGTCGTGACCTTGAACTCTAAGCTAATTTTTAGATGGACGAATCCTCACTGCAGACAAGGACAGGAGGCCAGGTTCCTAAGGCACCAAGGACACGGGAGGAGTGAGACCCAGGTTGTGTCTGTCTCAGGGACCTGGAGGATGTGGTGGCTCCCCAGGCCCATGGCCAAGCAGATGGAGGGCTTAATTTCATCTAGACTGTCCCTGTAAGGCTTTTACAGGAAATTGGTTGATAGGATTAGAGGAGCAGGAGCCCCTAATAAGAAGTGGCTGCTTAACAAAACACTGAAGCAGATCCAATCTCCCTTTGCCCCTACACAGCACAGCATCGTCGACTCAGGAAGGACTCACTCCACAGACGCCAAAGGGGCCTGGGAACAGCACCCCCCTAGGGTTCTCCCTCCTCAAACACCCTTCTGGGCTCTGGACTTCCCACGATGCGGTGCAGAGAGCAAAGAGCTAAGAGCACAGATCTTTGGATAAGACAGAAGTCGGCCCCCATTACTGTGGGACTTTGGGCAAGTCCATTCTGTCTCCAGGCCTCAGAGAATAAGATCTATCTCCACAGGGCTGTGTGGGCGAAAGGAAGTCAAACACAGTGTGCCCAGGGCAGCGGCTGGCACGTGGTGACAGCCCAATAAACAGCAGCCCAAGAGATAAGGATGGCACCCTCCCCCAAGGCCCAAGGAACAATGCTAACGGGAACATTTTAGCAGCTGCCCCTACCACCTCCCAGGGAATGCTGCAGACTTCCCAGCTGTGAAATGGGTCGTTTGAGTTGAGCTTCCAAGGTTTAAGGGCCATGCTGACACTAACGTTTCAATTTCTTGTGGGATACGACTGGGCAAACAGAGTGGAACCCTCAGCTGGGGGGGAGGGGCAGGAACGAAAAGGAAGTTTCCCAAGCCCCAGAGGCGTCTATTTATCTGATCATCGGTTCTGGTCTAGGATCTACCCCTCTGCCAAGTCCCAGAGGAACAAGTGCAGGTGCAGGTGCAGGTGCAGGTGCAGGTGGCAGGTGGTTAGCTGAGCAGCGAAGGTGCCCATGTCCCACCTGGAAGGACCTGGGTTTGATTCCCGGCTCCAACTTCCGACTTCAGCTTCTTACACAGACCCTGGGGGGGGGGGGGGGCCAGCAGAGCAGTGAAGGCCCCAGCAGTCAAGGCTCCTGCGGCACAGGTAGGAGACCTGGATTGAGTTCCACAGGGGTCTGGGACCTGCTGTAGGCATTTGAGGAGGAACTAGCAAATGGGAGTTTAAAATTTTCAAAGAGCACTTGTAATGATGACACTAAAACAGCGACTTTCCCACAGATCCTCAGTGGATGTGAACCCGTGAAGGGCACCTGCTCACGGGTCACACACAGCCGGCATCGGCCTGGAGCCCACCGGACTCCGCTCCATTCATCTCCCGAGGCCCAGGCCGCGCCGGCACTGAGGCGGGATAATCTCAGCCCCGTGGCATTGGCGTTCCGGGGGCGGCACGGAGCACGCAGCCGCCCCTCCACGCCTCCGCGGGCGGATTCCCCCGCGGCCTCCCGCGCGGCGCGCGGCGGGGACCCCGGTGATTGCCAGCAGCCGCCGGCCTCATTAGGAGACGTGTAATTAGCGGCTGGCGGAGCCTGAGCCCGCGCCGGCGCGGGCTAATTACCGCGGGGAGCTGGCTGCCGGGGCCGCAGTGTTTCCTCCGGGACTGTGCGTGAGCCCGAGGAGTCAATCGTTCGTTCGGAACAGAGCGCTTACCGCGCGCTCCCTGGGCCAGGTGCTTAACTCCCATTTCCTGGTCATTTCCAGTCGGAGGAACCTTTATTATCCTATTGCACAGACGAGGAAACTGAGGCCTGGAGGCGCGGCTCAACCTCCCTGAGGGCTCCTGGTAGGGATTCGAACCCGCGGCGGTCCTACCGCGCAGACGACATCAGCCAGCGCTCAAGTTGGATGGCTGTGGGTTCGAGTCCCGAACCTGCTCCTTGACGCCCACTCGTGACCGTGGTCTGAATCCCAACTGTGCCTACAAAATGCGCGCGTCGCTAGGATTGACAGGCTGAAAACTTCAGGAGTGCTTTGAGGCTGGTCCTGCGGGGTCCACGCACTGCGGGCCTCCGACGCCCTCTGCGGGCCGCAAGATGTTTCCGGGTGAGGCGCGGGGCACGCCTCCTCCCTCCCTCCCTCAGCTTTCCTCCTTTAAGGTGACAAGAGTGGGAGATGGGAAGGCTAAGAACTCCTTCTAGACCTGGCAAATAGTCGGCTGTGAAAGGTGCTTCCCCTCATGGACCTCGCAGGGCCAGCCAAGGGCATGGGCATCAGTGACCTAGCTACAAGGCATGCATCAAAGCATTGAGTCTACGAGAAAACCTGGAAGTAATTTATACAGCCATCAACAGGATACTGATGGCCGGCGTTGTGCCCTCGTGGGTACAGCACCAGCTCCAACACTGTGAGGCCGGCATCCCTTGTGGGCGCCGGTTCGAGTCCCAGCTGCTCCACTTCCCTTCCAGCTCCCTGCTAATGCCCCTGGGAAAGCAGTGGAAGACGGTCCAAGTGCTTGGACCCCTGCACCGACTTGGGAGATCAGGAAGCAGCTCCTGGCTCCTGGCTTCAGACAAGCCTGGCTCCAGCCATTGCAGCCATTTGGGGAGTGAACCAGCAGATGAAGACCTCTCTCTCTCTCTCAAGCTCTGCCTTCCAAATAAATTAATTAATTTTACAAAAAAAGGCTATTCCTCCGCCTGCGGCACCAGCACACCAGGTTCTAGTCCCGGTCGGGGCGCCGAATTCTGTCCCGGTTGCCCCTCTTCCAGGCCAGCTCTCTGCTGTGGCCAGGGAGTGCAGTGGAGGATGGCCCTAGCCTTGGGCCCTGCACCCCATGGGAGACCAGGAGGAAGCACCTGGCTCCTGGCTTCGGATCAGCGCAGCGCGCCGGCCGGAGTAGCCACTTGGGGAGTGAACCAACGGAAAGAAGACTTTTCTGTCTCTCTCACTATCTTACTCTGCTTGTCATAAAAATAAAAAGACGATCTTTAATTACTGAGTTAAAGAAATCAGACACAAAAGAAAACATGCTGTAGATTTATTGGAAGTTCACCCACAGGCAAAACTAACTGGTCCTGGTGGAAGTCGGAACAGTGGCTGTTTCTGGTAAGAGTTCTGACTGGGACTCGGGGAAACGTCTCAGGTTCTGGAAATGCTTTCTCCACCGGAATGTGGGTGACAGGTACACGAGTCTCTAGGAATTCGCTGAGAGGTGCTATACTTCCAAATTTTTTTTTTAAAGATTCATGGGGAAAACAATTTCTCGGCCTTGCTCTATCCTCAGCGAGGAATAGATTTTTATTTAAAGATTTATTTTATTTATTTGAAAGACAGAGTTACAGAGAGAGGTAAAGACACAGAGAGAGGTCTTCCATCCAATGGTTCACTCCTCAGATGACCACAACGGCTGGAGCTGCGCCGATCCGAAGCCAGGAGCTTCTTCCAGGTCTCCCACGTGGGTGCAGGGGCCCAAGCACTTGGGTCATCTTCCACTGCTTTCCCAGGCCATAGCAGAGAGCTGGATCGGAAGTGGAGCAGCCAGGACATGAACCAGCACCAATATGGGATGCCAGTGCTTCAGCCCAGGGCTTTAACCCACTGCACCACAGCCAGCACCAACAAGAGAGAAATTTAAAAATATTCAAGTGAAAAGGAAAAAGTGCTTGACAGTATGACCCACGATGCTTACAAAGAAAATAAAAGGAAAAACGCCACTTCACATGGGCACAGTTCTCAAAAGCCGCTCTCTGTCTCACGACCTCTTTACACTCTTAAATTACTGAGGATTCCGAAGCGCGTCTGTTTTTGTGCTGATAACTATCAATGTCTACCTCAGAGATTAAAACTAAAAACTGTTTAAAACACAATAGACGATTTCATCAGCCATCAGAGCGGCGATGCCAGATACCATGTGGCTTCTAGAAAACTCTACGATCTACTCTGAGAGGGTGAAGAAGGCAAACTGACATCTTACTACACTTATTAATATTATTATAATTAATAATCCCGAGTCTCCCTGAATGAGTGGGAATTCCGTGGGAGAACTGCGGACACAGGGGGAAACCACGGAAGAAACTACGTGATAAGCGGCTCTCTCAGTCCTGCGGTTACAGCGGAAAATACAATGACAACAGTTTTTGCAAACAAACAAAAAAAGGTGACAAAGCACCCATCTCCACAAGACTGTTGAAAGGCCCAAAGAGTAACAGCATATTTGAGTGGAAGAATTAAACCGCGCTCTAACCTGAAGTGTCCGATTTGCTGTGTGTCAGTCCCTGTGCTTCAGCCTGGAGTATAAATGCGTGTGTGACCGCGCCCTCAGGCGCCGGGCGCCCCCGACGCCGGCCGCCTCCTACACTGTGAACCGCGAGGGACCGCCCATCGCAGCCCCGAGTCCAGCCCCCAAACCACAACCTCCCGGGACGGCAAAAGGACGCATGCGCTCTTACAAAGGCCATCGGAGGCGGAGCTTGAGGGAGACTGACACGGAGCTTGGCCTCTCAATTTTCTAGCACCGCCCTCCTCTCCTGGCTCCCTCTCGGAGTGGCTGCAAGGTGGCGAAGGCAAACTTCCCATTGGCCGCAGGACACCGACATCCGGTGAGCCCTTCGGGCAGGCGGGCCCCGCGGCAGCCATGGTGCGGTTCAAGCACAGGTAAGCGGCTCCTTGCGCACCCTCAGAGCCACCCCCGGTCTCCCCGGCCCCGGCTCGCGCGCTCACCCCCATGTGGCCTGCGGCAGGTACCTGCTCTGCGAACTGGTGTCCGACGACCCCCGCTGCCGCCTGACTCTGGAGGACCGAGTACTGGTCGGCCTGATTCGGGACACGATCGCACGGGTGCACGGGACCTTCGGCGCGGCCGCCTGCTCCATCGGTTTCGCAGGTGCGAGGGCGCGGGGGCAACCCGGACGGACGGCGGGATTTGGAAGGAGCAGGCGCTGGAGGAGGGAGGAAGAAGTGGCACGAGCGAGCCCTGGAGAGGCCAAGCCCGGGCGCACCCTTCGGTCGTGGGAGGTCCACACGAGTCCGAAATTAGGCAGAGCTAAAGCAGGGGCCCGCAGGCAGTGGGACTTCGGGCAAAACCCTGTGTGGCGTCTGCATATTGGGGCTTGTTAGTGAACTTAACATAGTTAAATGAGTAAAGTCGTATATAGTTCCTAGGCAGAGCCATTATTTGACCGATTACATTGACATCACATGGGAAAAAGCAGGTCGTAATTACCTCAGAAAAGCCCTTAATAGTAACGTACAGCCCACGATTGGGTACAAGTTCCGTGCAGGATAGACAGGCACCAAAAAAGGCTGTTCGCCCTCCGGACTACTCCAGCATTTAGTTCCTTTTACCGTGAACTCATAGGGTCCTGGAGAATCAAGTGCACGGAGGTGACCTCTTGCCATCAGGTGAGACCCGCTGGCGGCCACAGGAGCCTGCAGAGCCCAACGGCAGTAAAACAGCCCGTTTATTAGACGAGGGCTTTTTTTTATATATACATATTATATATGTGTGTATTATATATAATATATATTATAAATATATATATTTGACAGAGTTATAGACAAGTGAGAGAGACAGAGCAAGGTCTTCCTTCCGTTGGTTCACCCCCAAATGGCTGCCACGGCCGGCGCTGCACCCATCCGAAGCCAGGAGCCAGGTGCTTCCTCCTGGTCTCCCATGCGGGTGCAGGGCCCAAGGACTTGGGCCATCCTCCACTGGACTCCCGGGCCACAGCAGAGAGCTGGCCTGGAAGAGGGGCAACCGGGACTAGAACTGGCACCCATATGGGATGCTGGCGCCACAGGCAGAGGATTAACCAAGTGAGCCACAGTGCCGGCCCCCAGACGAGGGCTTTTGTTTTTAAAAATGTATTTATTTGAAAGTCAGAGAGGGAGACCTCTTCCATCCCTTGGTTCACTCCCCAAATGGCAGCAATGAAACTAGAGCTTCTTCGACATGGGTGCAGGGGCCCAAGCACTTGGGCCATCTTCCTCTGCTTTCCCAGGTGCATTAACAGGGAGCTGGATTGGAGGTGGAGCAGCCAGGTCTTGAACCAGTGTCCATACGGGATGCTGGTGTCCCAGGCTTCACCTGCAAGGTTGGCCCCGACAAGGGTTTTTTTTCATGCTGAAACATCATCTCCCCCTCCTCCCAGTAAAGTCACTGAATAGAACAGCATTTTAGATTCTCGATTCATTTACCAATTCTAAGTGATGTGCAAGGCCCTGGTGGTTATCCTCATTCCATAAATGAAGGTCTCGTCTGAAGTTTTTCTTTAGGAGTCTGTTTTTCCTCAGTGATGCATCCCAAGTGCCATTTGTCTAGAACAGTCCCTGGCACAAAGCAGGCTCCGTTACCCTAAGGCTTCTAACCACCTGTGAATCCGAAGTTTTCCAAAATGATCTCTCCCCTGCTGTAGTTCGATACCTCAATGCTTATACCGGAATAGTGCTGCTTCGATGCCGAAAGGAATTCTACCGGCTGGTGTGGTCAGCGCTTCCCTTCATCACGTATTTGGAGAGCAAAGGACACCGTTACCCTTGTTTTTTCAACACGTTACACGTGGGAGGTAGGCATGCATGTAGTGCATTTGCTGAATCTTAAGTGACAGACTCAGCATTTACCTTGACTGCTCGCGTGCTGAGAGAGAATTCCTCCTAGCTCTGTCTGTAAAGCAGACATTCACAAGCTGTTGACTCCATGTCTTTCATGTGCCAGGTACAATCAGAACATGTCAGAAGTTCCTGATTCAGTACAACAGGCGACAGCTGTTGATCTTGTTACAGAACTGCACTGATGAAGGTAAGCAACAGTAGCCCAGTGCCCACTGAGCAGTGACCAGCGGGCTGCCCTCGTGCAGAGAGATTGCTCGAAGACATTTATTCTGCTCTGCCTCTTTCCAGGAGAGCGGGAAGCTATCCAGAAGTCAGTGGCGAAGAGCTGTTTACTAGAGGAGTCGTCTGAAGAGGAAGGGGCTTCCGACAGCGGAGGTGAGGAAGCTGCTGAAGCAATGGCGTCGTGAACTGCTCAGACTGGGTGGCAGCCAGCCAGGGCTCGATTTTCCAGCGTGAACTGGAGGCCACACTCAACTGAAACCCTGGAGTTGCTTTTACAGAGTGTTTCTGGTTAAGTGGTTCTGCGGGTTGTAAAGGCTCTACACTTGTGGATAGTCTTGTATCTAATTACTTGTCTAATTTGGTTTCTATAGCATTGAGCATAATAACAAAAGGGCTTATACACTTCATGCTTGGCCAAGTCTCCTCTTGCATTTACCCTGGCTTTGGTGGGAAGACTGCTCCTATGTGACACTACATTAAAATTTTTTTAAAAGATATGAAAGGCAAAGAAAGATCTCCCATCCACTGACTCCCCAAATGGCTTCAACAGCCAGAGCGAGCCAGGCCAAAACCAGAAGCCAGGAGCTGCATCCCAGTCTTCTGCATGGGTGACAGGGGCCCGAGTACTTGGGGTATCCCCCACCGCACACTAGTGCAGGGAACACATTAGTAGGGAGCCAGACCTGAAGTGGAACAGCTGGGACTTGAAATGGCACACCCCAACACCAGATGAATTTTGAATATTTAGCTTTCCACGTGTAGCCCTAGATAAAAGAGCTCATTTGGAATAGAAATGTGAAGAGACATAGCAACCAACTTGTACAGATCCATAGTCTCAGTAATGATCCAAATACCTTAGAAATATCAAATTCCTTGCTAGCACCTAAGCAGCTGACTCTGCAAAAAAAAAAAAAAAAAAAAATTGCAGCTTTTGCACTTTTGTGGCATAGGCTGGCCTCACCTGACTTCACTGCCAGGCTGGGAATTTTCTGTAGTTCCACCCATTCTTATTTCCTTACACCTGAAGACAGGTAACTGCCACACTCACAGGCATCAGACCAAAGGACTTTTAACCAGCTCTGTCCTGCTACCTCATGACATTTCTTGGCTGTTTTCTCCATAATAAAATGATGTCATTCAAAGGTCCCTCAGTCACAAAGTTGGGTTTTTTAAGGTTTATTCATTTTACTTGAAAGTCACAGTTACAGAGAAGGAGAGGCAGAGAAAGAGAGAGGTCTTCCATCCAATGGTTCACTCCCCAATTGGCCACAACAGCCGGAGCTGCGCTGATCCAAAGCCAGGAGCTTCTTCCAGGTCTCCCACGGGGATACCGGGGTCCAAGGACTTGGTCCATCTTCTTCTGTTTTCCCAGGCCATAGCAGAGAGCTGGATCGGAAGTGGAACAGCTGGGTCTTGAACCAGCACCCATATGGGATGCTGGCGCTGCAAGTAGAGGCTTTACCCACTACTCCACAGCGCTGGCCCCATAAAGCTGTTTTGCTTCACTGTGTCCTCTAATTTCAGGACCAGAACACAACCTCCCTCAAGAGTCCTTGACCTGAGATTTCCTTTAAAAATGACAGGCTAGCAGCTTCTGGGGAGCTGAGCACAGGAGTCTTCACATCCTTTCTCACAGGCCTTCCCAATCCAGCTCCTGGATCCTCTGTCATACGCCCATGAACAGTCACTGACTGAAGAATTATCAGTAACCAGAGTTGCACCTGTACCTTTGAAGTGAGGAACAAGAACCTCAGATATGCTGCAGTGACCCTAATCTTTCAGGCTTAAAAAAAAGGGGGGCGGGTGTTTGGTGTGGCAGCTAAGGTGTTGCTTAGGGTGTATCACACAGAGAACTTGGGTTTGACTGCAAGCTCCACTGCTGATTCCAGCTTCCTGCTAAGGTACACACCCTAGAGCAGGACTGGCTCAAACAGCTGGATCCCTGCCACCCAAACAGGAGACCCACACTGGGTTCCTGCCTCCTGCCTGGCCCAGCCCTGGCTGTTGCAGGCATCTGTGAAGTGAACCAGCAGATGGAAGACGGTCTCTCTCTCTTAAATAAATAAATCTATCTAATCTATCTTTATAAATAAATAAATCTTTATCTTCTCATATTCTTTTTTTTTTCTGGACAGAGTGGACAGTGAGAGACAGAAAGGTCTTCCTTTGCTGTTGGTTCACCCTCCAATGGCCACCGCGGCTGGTGCGCTGCGGCCGGCGCACCACACTGATCCAATGGCAGGAGCCAGGTGCTTATCCTGGTCTCCCATGCGGGTGCAGGGCCCAAGCACTTGGGCCATCCTTCCCTGGCCAGAGCAGAGAGCTGGCCTGGAAGAGGGGCAACCGGGACAGAATCCGGCGCCCCGGCCGTGACTAGAACCTGGTGTGCCGGCGCCACAAGGCAGAGGATTAGCCTAGTGAGCCACAGCGCCGGCCACCTCTTATATGGTTAAAGTTAGGCCCAGCTCAAGAGGCTTTCTGGTGTGTATGGGGGGCTGCTGAGGTGCAGTGGGTTAAACTGCCACCTACAGGGCTGGCATCCCACAAGGGATGTCCCTGCTGCTCCATTTCTGGTCTAGCTCCTTGCTGATATACCTGGGAAAACAGCAGGAATTTTGAGAAGCAGCTCCTGGCTTCTGGCTTCACCCTGGCCCAGCCCCTGCTGTTGTGGCCATTTTGACAGTAAACCAGCAGATGGAAACTCTGTCTTTCAAAATAAATGGAATAAATTTTTTAAAAAAGTCCTTTAGGCCTGATACCAGAGAAGACATTAGTCCATGATGGCTGAACTGCCTAAGTTCATAGTAGCTGTTACTTTACCCTATTTCAAGAAGTAATATGTCTGGCTGACCTGCAATGAACTTAAAAAAAAAAAAAAAAAAACAAAAAAACAGAAAAGCTGACATTGCTTGTGCAGGTGATTTATTACAACTATTTGCCTTCACATTCTATTACACCTAGAGTTCATTTTATTAAGCAGAAAACAATTCACATCACTCAAATTCAGCTCAAATCAAGGCATAAGAAAGCTGCTGTAGACAAGAGGAAGACAGTGGACAACCTACTGCCTTCACCCTGCCCTGTTCTCCAAGCCAAACTCCTGCCCCTACCAGTCAGGCCACTATCAGACAAGCTTGACCTGTGGGATGGCAGGTTCAGAGCTTCCTTACAGACTGGCAGCGTTCCTAACCCTCCTTCACCATGTAAATGGCCATCAAGCTGGCAACCCACATCTGGCACCACAGCCTGGCCATCTGGCAGAAGAAAATCAAACTGCAGCTTAAGCTGGGTATCCTAAGGCCATTTTATTCCCATCCCTGTTTCTATGACAAGGAGAACTGCACAGGCAGAAAGGACGCAGCTATCTTTATGACAAACTGCTAGGTGTGATGAAAGCAGAGGCGCCGGCGCGGGGTGCCGCAGCAGGACACTTCGTGCCGCTCTGCTGTGAGCTGCTCCAAGGGATGCTGAAGGACTCAAACTTTTGGGGGGCTGAAAACTAATTACACATGGGCCAAAACACTAACCTGGCAACAAACTAAAAACTCTGGCAGGAAGAGATGTCTTGTGAGTGTCAATACTTTTATTTTGGTGTAAAGACGGGAAGCTGGAAAATACACTGTATTTAAAATTTTTCTTGGTTCCCCCTCGCGTTGTGGAATCCCCCTCCCCCCGAGCTAGTCTTTTCAAACTCAAACACTTAAAATTACAGCAGCAAATCAAAAGCATGGAAAAAAAAAGATGGAGAAGGTAGCCAGGGCCAGTAGTGTCACTTGGTGTGGACAACTGAGGTGCTGAACAGGAGCTTCTGTTTCTGCTTTTTTCTTTTCTTTCCTCCTTTCTCTTCTAAAGGGAAACACAGAAAGAGAATTCACTTAGCTTGGAAAGCCATCCCCTAAATCCCCTGGCAGTTTTCATTACAGAGACAGTGCCAGCTAAGCATGCAGCCTTGAATGAGACTGCCTGGATTCAAACTACAGTCCTAGCATACACCAGGTATTTGTCTTTGGGCAAGTCCCTTTACAACCTTGCATCTGGCTCCTCATCTGTAACCGAGTTCCAACCCATTTCCAATTGTTGGGAAAATAAAATGATCATCACTCTAGGTCCACAGAATGAACACACCAATCATGTGTTGGTCTTGTATAATCACAAATACTGCAGTGACCTAACTTTTCCTTGCCAGCCAACCTTTACCAAGTTGACTCAAAACTGTAGGCAGGGAGCCGGTGCTGTGGCATAGTGTGCTAAGCCTCTGGCTTTCGTGCCTGCATCCTATATTGGTGCTGGTTCACGTCCCAGCTGCTCTTCTGATCCAGCTCTCTGCTATGGCCTGGGATAGCAGAGGATGATGACCCAAGTGCTTGGATCCCTGTACCGGCATGTGAGACCCAGAAGAGGCTCCTAGCTTTGGATCGGCCCAACTCTAGCTGTTGCTGTTGCAGCAATTTTGGGAGTGCAGAAGGAAGACCAACCTTTCTACCTTTCTGTCTCTCCCTAACTCTCCCTCTCAAATTTCTTAAAAAAAAAAAAAAAAAAAAAAAAAAAAAAGTAGCCAGGATCTATCTACTCTGCACTGTCTCAGCAGAAGCAGGCAGAAATCCTCAGAATTTCAGTTTCAGACCTCAAGAATTAATCTGATGTAACAAAAAGGTTCTCCCTGACCTGCCACGTGAACATTAGCTGACGGTCAAAGGCACTGAAGACACCTAGAGGCTCAGAGGGAAAAGTGCTTGCCCAGGGTTATCTGCTACTGTATCCAAGCAGGAGTAGACAGTCCACGTGTGGGGTGTCCGGCAAAACACCCTTACCAGAGAGCGGATCTGAAGTAGCCGGTGTGTCCAGTTTCATGAAGGCTGCTTCAATTGCTTGGCTGAAGGAATTTTGGAAACTCGGCACAGGGACACGGTCTGAATTATCACTCTCCCCATCGCTGTCCATAGGGGCAGGAGGAACTAAGGTGTTCTCATCTGAAAAATACCAGTGTTACTGATTCTCAAAACACCTCTCAAATTTTTTCCTGAAAGGGATCAAACGCCCCCCTTCACCCGCAAGGCCCCCTCACCTTTTTTTGGAGCAGTTTTGGGCCAGACATCCACTTTTGCTTTTCCAACCCTCAGCATCTGTCAAAGCAGAGGGGAAAGAATATCATTCATTCATTCAACTCTGTTTCCAGATGCCCACCTTGACACTAGTTAGGGGCAGAGGAGCAACTATCACCTTTAAAAAGTCTTTACCACACTGTTTGTCATGTCCTCTACATTCTGACCAATGGAAACTACAGTGCAAAACACAAGGTTGCAACGAAGCACAAGATTAGGAAATAAAGAACATTGCAAAGAAGGCACAAGAAGCCCAGTCATTCCCAAACTGAGAATCCTGTTATTTTCCTGCCTTTCTTAGAACCCCTGTTGGGAATAAAGCAGTGTGCAGTATCCTCTAATTAAACCATATGGCTATCAAACCTTAGTTACTTAAGGCCATCAAAACTAATTAAAGTTAAGCCTAAAACTGATCTGTTCCAATGACCCTCATTACCTTTTTTTAGTCTGCTTTTCCAGTAGCTCCTTAATCATCAGTTTTTAGATCCAACCATAAAATTCATAGCCAGTAAAACCAAAATAAGGGACTGGCACTGTGGCGTAGTGGGCAAAGCTGCTGCCTGCAGTGCTGGCGCCCCATATGGGTGGGGATTCAAGTTCCGGATGCCATTTTTCTGGTCCAGCTCTTTGCTACGGCCTGGGAAAGCAGAAGATGGCCCAAGTCCTTGGGCCTCTGCACCTGTGTGGGAGACCAGAAGAAGCTCCTGGCTCCTAGCTTTGGATCGGTGCAGCTCCAACCATAGCGACCAATTGAGGAGTAAACCAGCGGATGGAAGACTTCTCTCTCTGCCTCCCCTTCTCTGTTTAAACCTTTCAAATAAATAAATCTTAAACACACACACAGACACCCCCTGGCCCCAAGTTAGCCACAGCTGGCTTTGTCACTGTTGAGGGCCACTATTAATCCTATCTGCTCTACATGCCAGGCAATTCAACATGGGGAATTTCATTTCTACAAAAATGTTAAGAAATAAAATTGAATCCCCTGGTTTTCAAGCAGGCAAGTCTTGTCCTGAAGCATCCATCCTCAAGGAAGGCACACACATTAAGAGCTGTAGCAGGTGCTGGTTTCACAGAATAGCTTTCTTCAGCATATCATGTGCTTTGATGAGCATCTCCCCTGGCCCCTGGGAGTTTGGGACTAAATAGCATGACAGCTGAATCATACTCTTAAAAGGTAATTAAGATGTTTTATTCTTAATATAACTATGTGTTTGAACTGAACCTACTCATGAGGAAACAATCAGATCCACACTATGGGGCATTCTGTAAAACAACTGGCCTGGTTGCTTCAAAATATATATGTCATGGTGGGATAGAAGAGAGGAAGGAGGCAGCCCAGAGGGACTGCTATGGATCAAAGAAGCTAAGGCAATTTGACAACTAAATGTAACAATCTAACTGGACCCTGAATTAAAACTATTAAAGACATTGAGACATGGGCAGACAGATAGAGTACCAATTTAATTGAGTGGATGTTAAGAACTGTGGTTACTTAGGAGAGCACCATTTTCTTTGCCATATATCTCCTAAATATTTAATGAAGTATCATCCGTAAGGTCTACAACTTTCAACATACAAAAATTAAGCAAATATAGAAAATGCTAAAGAATCAGTGAATCTATGTGAAAGGTATGAGTGTTCATAATACAAATGTACTTCCAAAACCATTTTGAAATTTGCCATTTTCATAATATGAATCATCCATGAATTTTCTGAAGATCTCTTGTATACATGGATTTCAGTTCCTACTTAGTTCTCAGAAGTCATCTTTATGAAAGAAACAGATCAACTAAGGACAGTCCCAACCTAGGACCAGGTTTGACTTGTGAATTTTCTACCTTATGATGGTCCCAAGTGTACCCATACATAGTTCTTAGAGTATTCAATAAATTACATGATATATTCAAAACTATTATGAGGAGCCGGCGCTGTGGCACAGCGGGTTAACGCCCTGGCCTGCATCCCATATGGGTGCCAGTTCGAGACCCAGCTGCTCCACTTCTGGTCCAGCTCTCTGCTATGGCCTCGAAAGCAGTGGAAGATGGCCCAAGTGCTTGGGCCTCTGCACCCACATGGGAGACACGGAAGAAGCTCCTGGCTTCGGATCGGTGCAGCTCTGGCCATTGCGGCCAATTTGGGAGTGAACCAGCGGATGGAAGACCTCTCTCTCTCTGCCTCTCCTCTGTGTAACTCTGACATTCAAGTAAATAAATAAATCTTTAAAAAAAAAAAAAATGAAATCAGCTTTGTACCGTAGGTTAATTTAAGTGCTCTGATTATGTTTCACATAGGCTAGGATCAGCTAAAATGTTTGGTAGGATTAAATGTGTTAATTACATTTTTGACTCACAAAGGAAAGGAAGCCCATAACATCATCTGCTCTCAGCCAACTCCCTACTGACTAAAGTTCCAAGGCAATAAATTCCCCCCATTCCCATCAGATATCTCTGTTTATCTATCTGTATTCGAATGAAAGGCAACAACTCCTGGTTGAGGTTCCCATAAAAGCAAGCTGTGGAGTTCATGTTAAAAATTCTTGGGCTGGGGGCCGGCGCTGTGGCGCGGCGGGTGGGGCCGCTGCCTGCCGTGCCAGCATCTTGTGTGGGTGCCAGTTCGTATCTCGGCTTCTCCGCTTCCAATCCAGCTTTCTGCTATGGCCTGGGAGAGTGGTCGAGGATGGCCCATGTCCTTGGGCCCTGCACCCACGTGGGAGACCTGGAGGAGCCTCCTGGCTTCAGGTCAGCGCAGCTGCGGCTGTTGCGCCATCTGGGGGGGGGGATCAGGGATGGGGGAACTCTCTCTCTCTCTCTCTCCTCTCCCTCTCTCTCTCTCTCTTTTTTTTCCTCGGGGAATTTTTTCAGGTAAATAAACATCCTCAAAAAAAAAAAAATTT